CACCCTCCATCATGTTCGAATAGGGTGGCTGGAGGAACCTCTCCCTTCCTGGCTTCTTGATGGGGCTGGATGATGGGGGCTGTGCCTGGCTTTGGTGGCCAGGTGACCCAGGGCTAGGGAGCTCAGTGGGAGTATTTCAAGCTTCCAGCTTTCTAAGGTGGTGTGCTGGAGTCAGTGCGGTCCTAGGTCAGAAGAGAAGCATCGAGGGATGTCAGCCATGGAAGGGTCCTTAAAGGCAATGTGTCCTAATGCCCTTGTTTTAAGGACAAGAGCCTGAACCCAGAGAGTTGGCTCCTCGTCCAGTGCCATTTCCAAAGGAATAGAGGAAAGAAAGCAGGGGTCCCTGTGATAGAAAGGGGCTGGGGCTTGGGGGCCAGGAAGGGGAACCAGAGCAATGGCAGCAATCCAGGTGTGTCCTGGAGGGGGGTGGGCAGGAGGACAGATTGAGGGGATTCTTAGCTGCATGGGACTTGAAACCTCATCTGGTTTAATCTTGATTTCCCAGTGAAGTTGCAGGGCCCAGAGAGGATGGTGAGTTATTGATATCACAGAGTGATGTTTGTAGACACAAATCAGGGCTGCCTGACACCCAAGGCTGGATTTGTTCTGCAACCCCACACCACCATCCTCAACACCCCGATCACCCTGGTCCCACAGGGCCGTAAACAGCCTGAGCCAAGGGACAGGTCTGCAGATTTGGTGACTTCTCTGTGACCAAGCTCTGAGGTTGAGCTTGGGGAAAACAAGCATGCCTTTCTCACATGAGCTGTGGTATTCTTTCCTGGGGCAGGTGAGTGTGGGGCTCACAAGCATTGAGCACCTACTGTGTACCAGAAAGCATGAGGGCTTAAAAAGGAGGAGTGGGAAGCACCCTGTCTCCTCCAGGAGCTGGAGATCCTCAAAGGAGAGACAGTGCCGACATAGCTACCTCCCAGCGTGTGCCGGGATGGCCTGTGCCAGAGGCTGAGGGAGTGTGTGTGAAAGCCCTAAGGTCTGGCACATAGTAGGTGCTCAGAAAATGGTAGTGCACAGGAAGTGGCAACAAATGGCAGCAACTGTCAGCTGTGTTAGACATCCCACAGCCCGTGTGTGTGTGTGTCTGTGTGTGTGTGTGTGAGAGAGAGAGAGAGAGATGGCAATAGCATCTCATGCTTATTGAGTACTTACTATGTGCCTATATGCCAGGCACTGGTCTAAGAACTTTACGTGTTTTACTTCATTTAATCTTTGCAGCAACCCATAAGGTAGGCACTACTATTGTCCTCATTTTACAGATGGAAAAGCTGAGGCATGGAAGTTTAACTGTTTATTGTCCTGTAACCGTAATTGTAATTGGCAGATGTGGAATTTAAACTTAGATCATCACATTGTCTACCACCCTGGCCTTGCCTGCCAAGGCTGGAGATGGCACTGCCCTCCAGCAGCACTGTCCCCAACCAGGGATCTGTCTGCAGTTCCCTACAGACCACCCGTCGCGTGTCCAAGACCTCTGTGCAGGATGGGAGTGAGTGGAGGGTAGAAGAGGCTCGAACCTCACCAGGAGCCTGTCCTCAGGGCCGAGGAGACTCTAGTAACAACAGCAAGGTTCACACAGCATTTTCTATACCCCAGGCCCTGCTCTGGGCACTCCATCAACTCATTCAATCCTCACACAGCCTGTGAGGCCCATCCTGCCACCGTACCCCACTGAACAGATGGGGCTGACACAGAGATGGAGGTAACTCATCCAAGGCCTAGAGCTGATAAGGCGCTTGGGCCAGACCCGGCATTCTGGATGCAGTCTGTTCTCAACCCCTGCACATCCTGCTGCTTGCCGAGAAGGCTTGTAGCATGCTGGGAGGTCAGAATCAGGACTGAGGCAGGGTGGTGAGAGTGTAGTTCATATTTCTCGGTGGGGCCAGGAGAGGGCGAGTGGCTGACCCCATCACACAGCTGGTGCTGTCAGAGCCCGTCCAGCCACCCCGTCCATGACAGCAGATGGATGTGCAACAGTGTGAAGAGGAACTTGACAAAACGCCCTGTTTAGAGTTGTAAGTTTCCAAGAGGGAGCCCAGGGTGGCAGCACCCTAACCCAGCCCCTCCCAGGCAGTCACTGGCATGGGGGTCTGTGGTCTGAAAGAGCTTAGGGGACCCACATGCTTTAGGAGCAGCAGCTGAGTAACCCCAGGCCTCTGGAGATGGGCTGCCAGCTGCTGGCGTCGGAGTCGGCCACCCCAGCACCAGGGATGGCCACCGCCACCCTCCCTAGGAGACTTTCCCCGCGGCACCTCAGCCCCTCCCCACCAGGTGTCCAAACACGCAGTGGCCCAATTGCCAAATATGGCAGTCTGAGCCTCGGGTATTTGCTATCAATATTTCACGCTTCAAACAACACTGTCTAAACAACCCCTATGAAATATGAATGGATTGAGGTTTTGACAAGCAAACAGTGCAGGCAAAATACCAGGATGATGAGGAAAGGCGGGAGATGCACCTGCATCCCTGGGGTCAAGCCAAGGGACTGTGGGATGACCATCCTCCATGCATAGCACAGAAGCTGACCCCGAAGCTGCCGCCTTAACAGGGTCCTTACCAGGGTCCAGGGGCTGGATACAGGACTGTGCTGGAGTCTGTGTCTGCAGTGTGGGGGGCGGTGCTCTGCAGACTGTCCTGCTGGTCTCTGGGGCTTCAGAAAGGGACCAAGGGAAAAGGCAGTGCAGTGTGGAGCTTGCTCAGAGCACCAGAAGGCTGTTCCCTCCCAACTTGGAGAAGGCACAGGAGGCAGGTGGATGGGCTGGGTGTCTAGGGTCAGGAGCAGGGGGCAGGCAGGTCACTGGGTGGTCTTCCTTCTCAAATTATCTGCCCTCCACCCTATCCCTAACCTGTGTGGTGCTGAGCATGTTGAAGCAGCTCCTCCACCCTCTGTCTCTGGTCACCACTGACCCTCTTGTGGGCCTGTCACAGCACCCCTCTGCTGTTCCCTCTGGAATGGCCCCACCGCCAGCCCCTGAGCCATGTGGGCGGGGGAGGATCTTCAGAGGCCTCTAGCTCCAGGAGCCACCCCAAGCTCCTTCCTCCCTGACTGAGAGGCCACACACTGCACAAGGGGCCATGAACATTCAGGCCTCAGCTTCTCCAGATATAAAACAAAGGGCCAGGACATGATTTTCTCTTAAGTCTCTTTGAGACCTGACACTCAGCAGGTTCACAAGTCACTGCTTGATTTCACCGCCCTAGGCAGAGACCCCAGGGATCGGGGTCCTGCTCTCTGCAGTCAGAAAGCAGTTGGCGGTGTCAGTGAGCTAATATGACAAGCTGTAACACTGATGGGTCCAGCTGTGGAGCATGCGGGGACCTCAGCCTGTTAGGGTGGGGATGAGGGAAAGGAAGCAGCTGAGGCCAGGGCTGGGAGCTGGCTGGGCTGAGGGGCTGGCATCCCATGGGGAGCCAGAGGATGGACACTGCCGTGTCCTGGGGGCATTGACTCATATAAGCTTGTTTGGAAAGTCCAGTGGGAGCCCGGGCAGCAGGAGTGACAGTCTTGCTAGCTGCCGTGTGAGCAGCACATTGTGATTCTAAGTGGAGCTGGTCCCCGGGGTCAGGGCCCACTGGGTTCTCCAACAATGGGTTAGCCGCTTCCCAGGGCTGTAAGTGAGCGGGGCTCCAGCACTGGGGAAGTGCCACAACCCTCCCCAAAGGCTACTTGTAGCAATCAGAAGGACCCAGGTGCTAGGGATCTCCAGACACACCACATCCCAGCCTTGCAGTGGACAGGCTGACTCCAGACCACTGACCAGTGGGGCATGTGAAATGGCTCTTCTGGGGTCTACCTTGCCTGGGGCCTGGGCAAAGCCAAGGCAGCAGCTTTGGGGTCAGTTTCTGTGCTTAGGAGGGGCCAGAGGACCACACCAGTCATTAAATGAGCCTTGTTGTTTAACCCAACAGCATCTTCCCAGTGGGCATTTAGGCCAGGCAGTGGGTGGGAGGCCACGAAAGGGGGCCATCTGCTCCCCTAGCCCAGGCCAGTACTGGGCAGAGAGAAGTCCCTTGCTTTCAGGAAAAAAACAACACCACACACACATCTCGATCCGGTCTAAGAAATTGACAGGGTTGATGGTAAGTGCTGATTCCCTGAGCCTTCAGACTCGGTGGAGGTGGCACCTGGGGGCTTTCTGTAATCCTTCACTGATGGCTTAGATGGTGGGGCAGATCTTTCAGGAGCAAAAGATGACCTTGAGGAAATGTGGATTCTGTCAAAGAAAGAGAAAAATAATTTCCCTTCCTCAAACTGCTGTCAATCAGCCTCAGCACCAGAGTGGTTGAGGGAAAGTGCCTGCCGCTGTAACCTCCCACCTCAGGAGGCTGTAGCATTCAACTGCGTGATAAGAAATTTCCAGGCACTTTCTAATTACAATTATCATCATCGTGGATGTCTCTCTTAATTACTTTCTTATAATTAGCTGTTGCTTTTTTCCTCTGCATGTGTGTACTTTGCAGATTTGCTGACATTTGAGCGCCCCAAAATAGGGACATTTGGGGAGGAGGGCAGAAAGGTGGGGGGAAAAGTGAGAAGGGACCTTCTTTTCAGGCAGGCTGATACATTTTGGGGCCTTTGCAGAAGGAAACTGGGGAAAGCAGAAGATGCAAGGGACAGGTTATTTCCTAAGCAGATGGACAAAGAGAGCAGGGGTGTGGATATATAGGAGCCTAGGTTTGTGGAGGTCCCTGTTGTTAAACGTTGGAGGAAATGTTCTCGAAAAGTCAACGATGTTACCGCTTCTCCAGCTTGGGTTTCATTTTAGGAAATGAGGCTGGGGATGAAATGTACTCTTGTAGGATCCGTTCTGGAGTTAATTAAATGACTCAGGTCAGGTGTAGCTTGATTTTCCCCCAAGCCAGTGATGCATTGTGAGCATCCCTGGGCACCAGGGAGTTGTGACAAAATGGATTATGCTCCTTGACCAGATGGTTGGTTTTCACTGTTGGTCTGATTCTTCCTCTCTCTCCTCATGTCCCCTCAGCCCTGTGTACGGAGGAGTGTGTGCACGGCCGCTGCGTTTCCCCGGACACCTGCCACTGCGAGCCTGGCTGGGGAGGGCCCGACTGCTCCAGCGGTGAGTCTGGGGTTTGGGGGTCAGGAGGACCCCTGGCTCTGACTTGGTAGGGGGAGTGGGTTGTGGTGTGTGCATGCTACATTTTTGTGTTGTGCTGGGGCGACTTGGGATGGGCTGCCTGAGGCCGTCTGAACATCAGGGAGGAGGTGTACCTGCAGTTAAAACCTGGTGGCACTTGAGAGGTGATTTGTAGGGGTCTGTGGGGGCATTGTGTGTTGTATGTTTATGGAATTGTGGGGTCATCTGGACAACTCTGACTTTTGAAGGAACACCTCTAGATATGGTCTTTGATGGTTGATGTGAAATTGACACAGTGCCCAGGAGTACACACTGAGGAGGTCGCCGTTGTCTAGCCCTGGTCCCCAGGTTCACTGCTCCAAAAACTCGGTTTTGTGGGTGCCCACAGAGGCTCAGGGGAATTGATTTATGAGACTGGTGGACATTTGGGATGTCTCTGTGTCCCCAAAATTAGAACAGGACACTCGTAGGGGTAGGTCCTTGTGTTCCTACGTTTTTGTGGGCGGATGGTTCACCTTCTCCAGGGAAGCCTTCCTACTGAGCTGGGGGTGATGTGGATGCTCTGGGGCCTGGCCCAGTAACCCACAGTGGCGTGGTGCATTGTCTCTACTGTGGGGCTGGCCACCAAGAGGGTGCGGCTTACCTGGCAGCTGTTCAGGGAATTCTCTGCCAAGAACACAGATGAAAATGAATCCTCCTTCCCCTCTGGTTTATTGCCCCCAAATATTTGCGGATGACCACCTATCCATTGGCACATTATGCAGTCAAGGGTTGGTTAATATCTTGGTCTTATTTGGTTTTCAAAGAGGCCTTGACTAAGGCTGAAGCCCAAATTTCTTCCTGCTTTGAGTTGGAGTAGAGTGTTTTTATGGTGACCTGATTAGATAAGATAGCCAGTGGTTCCACTAGGGATCTAAGCCCTATTATTTGTCCATCTTGGGGAGCCACCTCCATGTTCCCCATCTGTGTTTTGTTTTGTGTAACTTGGCTTACAAGAAATCTTTGAGGAAGGAGTATCTGACTTGGATTAGGTCAGTCCTGCTGGGATGGGTCTGCCTGCTACTGCTGGATTATAATGTTGAGGGCAGCCTATTGGAGGTTGAAATACAGCCTGGGTCCCCTGGGGCCCTGAGTGTATAGAAACTGCTGATGAATGTAACTGTGTTTAGTGCTCGCTCTATATCTGACCACCATAGTCTTGAAAACTCGGAGAGGAGAATGTTGGGTCCATGTGGGCCCAGTGTGGTGTTACTGCCCTTTTCTACTCTCTCCGCTGTGGTGGAAACATCTAGTTATGTTTTTTTGTTTCTTTGTTTTCCCAAAGGACTTGACTGGAGCCTCTCTGTCTATGCAGTGCATGAGAACACTCTGGCCAAAGGCAGTATGTGGTTTTGTTTTGAGTCTGGGTGATTCTCTTGGCTCAGGGAGTCCATGGTCTGCTTGCGGTATCCAAGAAACCCCCCAATGTGTTGGGACCTCCGGTGACCACAGTGGCCTCCTTCTTCCACTTGTTCTACTGCTTTGAGTGAGCCATGACTGGGAAACAGGGCCAGACAATGAAAGGTAAACTGAGGCACAGATGAGCTAAATAAAGGAAGATGTCCAACCAGTCTTTCTGTCAACTTGAACTGCAAAACACATTGGGTAAAATGTCTGGGCTTTCCCGCCCTTATCTGTGTTTTGTTTTGAGTAACTTGGCTTACAAGGAATCTTTGAGGAAGGAGTATCTGACTTGGATTAGGTCAGGCCTGCTGGGATGGGTCTGCCTGCTACTGCTGGATTATATGCTGAGGGCAGCCTATTAGAGATTGAAATCCCCTGGGGCCCTGAGTGTATAGAAACCACTGATGAATGTAACTGTGTTTAGTGCTCGCTCTATGCTCGGGACTGTGCTGGGCCATGGGGAGAGCCCTGGAGGGTCTTTTAGACAAGGTCTGTATCTTTTCAGGGTTCTGGCCTAATGAAAGAGCTGGAACAAAGGTGGCATTTGATGAACAGGACTAGGCAGTTTAGAGTATGATTTGCCCCCAGAGTGAATTTACCAAGCAAGCCGGGAAACAGACCTGTTATTTACAGCACAGAACTAGACTGTCTGATTTAACGCCCCCGCACCCCCAATTCAGTCACCAGACTTGGTGCTAAGCAACCCAAAAGCTCTTTCCTCTCAATTAAATGCACCCTCATGGGTTGAAGAGCCATGGGTCATTGAGCTTTGAATCGACTCAAAGGCATGTGCTATTGAACCCATGGGAAGTTCTAAAAGAGGTTCCAACCCTGTTTGAGGGACAGCAGCATTGAATTAAAGCAATTCATAGATTCTCACCTTCAGTGTCATTCAGAGCATTGAATGTGTAGATGCTCTGCTAAGAGCTTTCCAACCTCTGCTTGAATACTTCCACTGACAAGGAGCTCACTACCTCTTATGGAAGCCCATTCTCACTGTTGGAAAGTTTTCCCTTCTCTGCAGTGGAAACCTACCTTTTAGCTTCTACTGGTTTGTTCTTGCTCATAATAAAGTCCAGGGCAGGGTGGTGGATGACCATGATGCTCCTTGTACCTGGAATTTCTTCCAAGAAGCTCATTGGACAAGAACACAGTCTGTGTCTATAGAAATGGTCATCTCAGCACAGTTGATAATAGCCATTGAGGCTGCACAGAAGAAACCAGACACTCTCTAATGAGTCAACCCTTCAGGTATTAGAAGATAGTGATCATTTTCCTCCCCAAGTGTTTCTTCTCCAAGCTCCCTTGTTTCTCACATGATGTCGTCTGGACTACCTTTCCCATCTGGTTTCTCTCCACTGGCTGTGGCCTTTATTCCTCTTAAATGTTTTCTCCTAGATCTGACCACACAACTGCAAGCTTGGTGTGACCAGTATGGAAAAATGAGAGTGGAGATAGCTACTATGTATTGAATTTTACTATGCACTGAGTGCTTTATTTACTTATCTACTTGTTTAATTTTCACAACGAACTTATAGTATGGGAATTGTTAGTTAGCCCCGTTTTACAAAGGAGCAAGTTGAAGCAGACAGAGGTTAAAGAACTTCCAGCAGACACACAGCTAGTCAATGGTAAGTCTGGGACTATCACCCAAACAGAAACCTATGTCCTGAACCTGAACTCTTAATTAATATATGCTCCCTCCTTCTGGATGTTCAACCTCTGTTAATATAGCCCAGTGTTGAAATTGATCTGTCATGAGAAAACATGGTTGTTCACAGGGAAATGTGAGCTCTGCTTAAAAGATGTGGCCCTGAGATATTGTGGAGATAGAGGAGTCAGCCATGGGACACAAATTGATACCAGCTTCCCCTAAGTAATTTGCGCCGGCTTGCTACATGCTATTGGGGTCTGTCTGCCAGTGCGCTCTCTACAGGGCCTTAGGGTCTTTGTGGGCGAATCTGTGGAGACAGGTATCTCGGTCCCACTTCAGTGTGATCTCTGGAGATCACTGAATGGGGTTTGTCGTGTGACACCCTTTCAGAGAAGCTTTGGTTTTGTTTAATTGAAAGCATCATTCTTGTTTGTTTTTTTTCTCTCTGGTTCTTAAAGTTATACCTGTTCATGTTAAAAAGAAAAATCAAACTGTAGCAAAAGTTAGACAAAAAAGGTTAACTCTCCACCCCGGAGATAACCACTGCTGGCATTTGGGTGCTTATCCTTCCTGCCATTCTTCTATACATTTGCACATTGAGCTAGATCTGGATATAACTTTTATTATTTAGATCAAATATGTGTGCTAGTCTATAACTTGCTGTTTAAATTTAACTTTACATCATGCACTCATTTTCTTGTCAATAAATGTGCTCCCTTAGATTTTTAATGGTCTTACAGAATTTCATTCTATGGATTACCACATGCATTTAACTAGTCCCTTGTTGATGGACATTGAAGTTGTTTCTGATTCTTTACTGTCATAGGCCCACCATCCTTTATCCAAGATCCTTGGGGCCTGTTGGCTTCAGAATTTATAATTTTTCAGAGTTTAGAAAGCATATGGTGAGTATGTTGTGTGTGACATATGCCCCCATGGGGTCTGGGCAGCACCCTGGGTGAAACAGTGATATTTCTGAAGTGACTATGACTGATCACATCAAGTGACATAAAAACAATATATAACCTCAAATCGGTTTCATGCAGATTTTGCCTCTAAATGGATTTTGGTGCTGAATTTTTTAGAACATGTTTTGGACTTTTTAGGGATTTCTGGATTGTGGCCCTGTGTAAAAATGCTTCAGTGATTCTTCTTATGCATATATCTTTTCCCACTTGTCCCAATTTCTTCTTAGGATAAATTCCTGGAAGTGGCAGGGAGGGTTACAAAGATCCATCATCTGACTGCCTGCCCCTACCCTGCCCTGCCCTTTGTGGCTGCCAAGGGATTTATGACTTTGACAGCAGTGAAGGGGATAAATCTAGTACTGGGGTGGGGGTGGGGACTTCTCATTCTTTTACTGACTTACAACCCCCTAGCTGATTTTTTTAAAGGCCTGGACTGATTTCTTTCTGCTCCATAAAGGAAGAGAGATGATACTGATTTGCCTGGTGGGCTGACACACCAACTATCAGATAATTCTGGGCTGTTAGATGGACCACTACGGGGAAATGGAGTGGCTGCCTGCCTGGTCATAAACCTCCATCCCATATAATAATGAAGAGTAAAAGGATGAAATGTCAGTTTATACTGAATAAAGACGACAGAGTGACTCTTATTAAATTGCACTAATCTCACAAGTGGAGATAAAAAGAAAAAAGTTTTCCTATATTGAATATCTAGTTTTTTAAAGTAATTAGGAATATTAAAGCACTGACAATGATTGAGATAGAAACATTATTCATAACTTTTATTTCCGCACTGGGCAATGATCCAGTATATTTCATTTATGAGATTTCAGCTGTACGGAGAAGGACGTGAGCCAATTCCTAAATTAAATATGCCCTGTTAACTTTTATAAATGATGCCCAATAATTAACTTGGA